TCTTTCAGTCTGAGATGTTTGATTCAGCAGAAAGGGGTGACCTTGGTGAAGAAGACAAAGGCAGCTTGGCTTTCTCTCTCTCTCTGTCTCTCACTGTTTCTCTCTATCACTTTCCTGTTATAAAGGATGTTAGTGTCATCTCTAGATATACAGTAACTGTGCTTTATTCAGACATTTATTTAACAACAATTTTGTTCTTCGCAGCTAAAAAGCAGACACATCTAATCCTTCCAAAAACAACAACAACAGCAATGGACGACCTTATTTTAATTAAAGGACCATACCAGAGTTTTAGGATATTTTATCCCATTTAAATTCCATGTACTTGCAAACTATGCCACATTTAATACCAGTGTTTGATCCAGGCCGTTGAAGAGGACTAGGTATCAGCCACAACGTTACTGATACACAATAACTACATTTCTTTATATCCGGGTCTTAAAATAATTCAGTCATGTTACCTTACATAAACCTTAGACCAGAATGGTCCGCATTCATTTTTGTCAAGATGGCATCATCTTCATCTTAATATTTCTAAACAAAACAAACTCAGTATCAAAGGGAAAAATGACAAGGCCTTATTCAGATATTAGGATGAAAATATTGATCTTCGTCAAACACATCAAACTGAAAGCACTCCGACGCCAACATGTCTGCAGTGAGTCTGATTACCTGAACCAAGAGCACACAAGTAAATCAGATCAATGGCACTTCTTTTTCATACCCAGCATCCTCTACATCCTAAACGTCTTCCACTATTTTGCAGCTCTTATTTTTCACTTGATCCACTTTGCATTGTTTGCAGCCACCTCACCTCCCTCTCCCTTCGCTCAGTATTCCTGACACACTCCCACTAACACTTTTGTTTCTTCGTGCTTCCTTCTGTTCTCATTAAACTTTTTTTTTTCCTCCCTCAAGCAGTCGGGCTTAGCGCTCCCCAGATCCCTTCTGCAGTGTCAGACGGAGGACGAGGACGACGCAGGCAGGAGCAAGGGCAGTAACAGAATATGACCACATCACCCTGAGAGATCAATGAAGGACTGTTTACTGAACACTACTGCTGACTCACACTTTAGGGTGGGGGAGGTGGGGGTGAAGGAGAAGGACAGGAAGGATGAGAGAAAGGGGGAGGTAAGATACAGAAGGACAGGAGGAGGGTGGAGGTTAGATGAGCGCAAGACAGAGAAAGGATGAATGGATGTAGCTGTGCTTGAAGACAGAAATGAGGGCAGTAAATCCATAAACATCTGTCACAAACGATTGTTTTCATTATCAATTAATCCACTTGCTCCCAATGTGAGCGCCGAACATAAGGGTCTGCAAAATTACCACTGGTGTAAAAAACACAAAAAATGTTCTCTTGTTCTAGAGATGGCCTTGTTGGTCTGTCGGACATTTTAGTCCAGACTGAACTTTCTCAACAACCAATGGATTGATTTCCATGACATTTTGCACAGACAGTAACTCAACATGATGAATCCTAATCACTTTGGTGATCGCCTACAGTAGCACCAGCTGCCTTTTCTGGATTTTAGAGAAATATCTCGATAAATACTGGATCACTGTGAGATCGCTTGTTTTGTCCAACCAATACTCAGAAAACCAAAAATTTACATTTACAGTGATAAAAAGAGAGATGAGCCACAAGTCATTCACTAATGTGAAAAACTGGGATCAGCAAATGTCGGATATTTCTGCTGAGTAAACAGATTTATGTCCCTGCAGCATGAGTAATCCCAGACCACACAAACACACACACACACTCAATCTGTTGCACAGGGTTTTTCATTAGCAGCTGGTGGAGCCAAAACCAGCTGTTGCCACAAAAACAATCCGCTGTTTTTCTAAGAAACCAACCAGCTGCTTAACACAGAAACTACAGTGACAGGAGGCGAGAGGAGATTATGGGAACCAGGGACTTAGACCTGCCAGTCACAGGGCAACTTTGTCATTAAGTCACGACTGACAAGAACGCAGAGAGACAGTGAGAGAGAGAGAAACTGTGCCGTTTGGCTGAAAGCAACACGTTCGGCATCTATTGTTACTTTTACCTGTCAAAATGACAAAAGTTTGATATGTTGCATTTAAAGCAGCAAAGGTTTTAAACTGTATTTTGCTACCTGTAAGAATCGAACAAATGGATGAATAACATGGAGCTATTTTTACATTCAGATCTCAGTGGAGGGAAAATGAATGAGAAGAAATAAATGAGAAACAGGTACAAAGGTACAATATGTTCTAAGGCAAAAGTCACAAAGCATTTGAAACTATTGTTAACACTTTAGAGCTACAAACAGGGAAACATCGTATTAAAATCAGTCAAATTTGGAATAAAGGGCTATTTTTAATATAATCCTGCTTCAAATACAGGCCTGCTTCGCTCTCTTCACCACTGAAAATTTACAGTAATCAATAAGACAGGGTGGAACATTAAGGCCTGAATCCTTCACTGACTATGCAGAGAGTCTGTGGGTTTCTCTGTGGAGGATGCAGGGTGTCTGCGCTGCTCTGCTGGCAGCTGATGGCAGGAGTCCACACACACACACACACACACACACACACACAGGAGAGAGTCAGAAAGTAAGGGGGTGGCTTTGCCTCATCTAAATATAGGCTTCAACAGCAGCACAGTCTTAAATATTTCATTGGTTCTTCTCCACAATTAAGCAAGGGAGGAGCCAAGGTAGAAAATGGGGAAGACAGAGGGACAGAGAGATGAGAAAGTGAAGGGGGGAGGGATGCACAGGGGGTTCAAGAAAGACTGAGATCAGTAAAAAGTGGGTGTAGTCAAAAATAGGAAGCAGAAAAAGGACTTAAAAGAGGGACAGGGGAAAAGGAAAGGGAGGGTGAAGGCATGGGAATCCAATACCCCTCCTTTTTATGCAAAGTAAGAATGGAGCCTTTCTAAATGCCTCTAGACAACTGGTCTTCTTATGTAGGCGTTACTGTAATTTGAGGCAACTTGGCGTGGTACTGATAAGTTTGTTTGACAACATCTCAAAATTTAAACTACACTACTACTTCTGAAAAATCAAAATTCATAAAAACATAGAAAAGACATTAATGATAAGCAGATTTAGAAACAGTTAAAAACAAAATGCACCCTCATGGAAATGTCAGCATCCAGACACAGCCGTGACAAGAACAGTGCCTATTCCCAGCAGACGTGTCATTCTGCTTTGGCCTGGCTGTCACTGTGAGGAGGATAAAGTGTGGCTTTGTTGCTGCTGTAAGCTGGCCTGCTCGCTATTGTGCATATTGTGCACTGTGCAGCATGCTGAAGGAGAGATAAAGGTTAAAGTCACATCTACAGGGAGCCACTATAGTCGGACAGATCGCACAATATGGATACACAAACACACAGCCGGTCACGTGGAGACCGTCTATCAGGAATTCCTCCTCATGCAGACACACACACATATTTCCACATGCTGGTGCTCCCTTTGTTCTCTCAGTGTTTCACAGTGATGGATGAGTCGGCACATGGAGCACATGGAGGGTTATTATGTTGAGACGTTTCTCAGCTCTGCACCTACAGAGAAATGGGCTCAACAATGAAGCAAGATACCGTCGCAGAATGGGAACAATGAGCATGAACGCACCTCCCATACACACCAAGATAAGCAGTTGCAGGCACATCTGTCTGCATGCACAAATACTGATGCACACACAAAGAAAGGCAAACATGGACACAGAAGCCAGTACATGTGCCAGACTATTGTGCAGGAGTCAATTCAACGGTCAGTGAAATGAGCAATGTCAAGGATCTAAAAACAGGGCTTCACCAAAACAGCAATCACAGCAGCAGACGGATCAAACTGAGAACATCAGCTCAAATTACTTTGTTTTACTCCTTGATCAGTTTTTCTGCCATTTATTTTCTTTCATAGCTTAATTAGAGTTTTCTTCTACTGCTGCACAGTGTGCAGTATAAAACACAGACAAACTGTCATGTTCCTCAACAACTGTTAGATGGACTACAGGGATTTCATTTAGGCATGTAACCTACAGTACTGTGCAAAAGTCTTGGGTCACCATCGCATTTGTTGTTTTAGTAATGTTATGATGACACACACACACACACACACATATATATATCTCCACAGCCTGAGGAAGCTCGATCAGGAACGGCCTTTGTGGAAGGACAGCAGCCGAGATACCACTGTTTCGGAAGGCAACAGGGAGAAAAGGGTGAGATGTGCAAAATATCGCAAAGACTGGAGTGAAGATCAGTGAAAAATGTCTTATGGAGTGATGAGTCGAAGTTTGAAATGTTCGGGTCCAGTCGTGAACAGGACGTAGGAAGAAGAGATGGAGAAAGATGGAAGAATGAGAGTAGCAGCCTTCAGTGAAACACGGTGAAGGCTCTGCCATGGTTTCAAGACTTCAGGAAGAATTCAAGCTGTGCTATAGTGCAAAGGGAGCTCACACTAAAGGCTGCCTGTAGAAGAGATTTGCTCTGAAAATTTTGTTTTTTTTTTTAGTATTGTGTACATATTTTCTGTGTTTTCTGGCTATGTCTTAATAAATATACATCATCACTGCAACCTTGCTAAAACAGCAAAAATAATGGTGGCCTAAGACTTTTGCACAATAGTGTAACTGTGTTTTTCTTTTCTTTGCAGATTAGAACCAAAATGCCTGCCTTCACAGTACCCTGCCCCGAAGAGAGTTCTGAGCTCAGATTAATCAGCATTAGCGTTCAAGTGAGGACAGCCGTGACCGTGCACTCTATCAGCCCCATAATCCTTCTGTCTCAGGTCACACAGGCCAACACCACACACACACACATCCGTGCCAATACTATCTGATCTGACAGTGTTTTAACAAACAAGTTGAGGGAGTGGGCACAGAAGGTTATTTCACCTTTACAAATACAAGACACTCTAATCAGCAAACTCAAGTCTGTTTTTCAACCATTTTAGAACAAAATCAGATATCAAGATGAAAGTAATTTAGCTGTCACCACTTGTTGCCCACCGTGTCCACTTGCCACTAACCTCTTGAAGTAGCTAAGCAGGGTGCCGATGAGCTCGCCGATGCGGCTCTCACTGGCAGGTACCATACCCTGCAGGCACACCACCAGATCCCTGCTGTCCTTGGTGTGGAACACAACCAGCTGGTCCTTCCCGGGGGACACGCTCACTCCTGTCACCTGGAACAGAGCGAGAGAGAGAGACAGGAAGCACACAGTTAAACATGTACATAAAACCTATGGAGAAACACAATACACGTGCAAAAGAATTTGTTGAGAAGCATGCCACGTGTGTATTTTAGATAAACTATTGCACAGACATGTACACACAGAGCAACCAAACCCAAAGGACATTAATTCACTGGGAGTTGCAACTCAATCTCTCTTACATCCACAGGAAGTGAAGGGAGGAGACATGAGGAATACCTGGTGCCTTCATTACCTACAATGCAACCCAACCACTGAAGGTTTGGTCAGAGATTCTGGTGCCGAGGAGTGGGCTACAGAGGTGTGTCACGCTCACTTCTGTTTAGCTCCACACCTCCAGATTTATTTTCATCGTCATTGCAGTCTTCAGCCCAAATGACATCACTCAAGGACATTTATCAGACGTCACACAGCTTCCTCAGGGCACACAAAAAGGTTTCATACATTCTTTGGTATACAGTAAGTATTACTCTTCAAAACCTGTAGACAGAGGTCAGTGTCTGTTGGTGCATGAGATTTCTCCTACTCGAGACTTAAACCAGCATTTGGAGCTCGGAGTAAAGATTTATTGACCAGCCTCCCAAAGCCCCAGTTAAACTTGTCTAATCAGAACCTCCCAAACCACATAGCAATAATAGAGCAGCAGGGCTAAAAGGGGAAATCCCAGTTTGCGGTTGGGTTGTTTAGCTTTACAGGTCTTCAGAGTAGACACAATAGGAAGTCTACAACTATCCTTACACGTAAACACATCTCAGGAGGAAGAGGAGCTCTGCCTTGCATCTCACAAATTCCCCTTCCTTCCTTCCTCCATTTAGACTAGTTTTCCTGTCCTTTTGCTGTTTCCTCCCTTTGGGTTTTATCAATTTATTTCTCTTTCTAAGCTGAATTGTGGCAGTCCAGATTGAGAAAACCAGTCAGGTACCAGAGGGCATTGCTAGGACTATCTGTCCGTGTTAGATTCGAGTCAACTTGTAGTATTTTTCATCTTCTTGGAAAATTGTGCAAGAATAGATTGCATAGATAAGTGTCGTTCTGGAAACTATAGATAAGATACTGTTAATTTATGCTATTTTACAGACGAGAAGTCTGACGGGCTTGAACTGGTCACTCATGTCTGAAGCATGAGTAAGAGGTTTTTACAACAGAATCAGGGAAGTAAGTGACACAGCTAACTGCATGTCTACTTTCAATTAGAGAGAAACACCTGAAAATAGAAGATAACAACACACAACACACACACACACACACACTGCCTATATGAACATTCTAGAATATTTACGTGTAACGTTCCACCCATGTACAGGGCAGTCCCAGCCCGAGAAGATAAATGTGAATGATTTTTGATTATCGAAGCTCTTGGAGACTTGTCATCTCTCAGAGCCCAGCGCTGTAATAACTCTGCATTTAACCAGAAGAAAATAAATCTACGTAAAGCTGATTCCTGTTTCCTGAGTGTTACTTCTTGGGGCCTTCAGATAAAAGAACCGGCTGTAGTTAAAATCTGTCAGGGGAGAACAGGCAGAGAAGAGCTGTTGGTCTGTTTGGCTCCAACATTACGCCTGTGACTTCAGAAACAAACACTTCACGTAATCACCATCAATTAAAGCCCTAAGCCACAGCTCTGTGTCAAGCAATCCACCAGCAGATAATTACATGGGGTGATTACATTTACATTTATATTAAAAGCTTAATTGATCGGAATGACAGTCATTTTTCTAATGAGTCTGGTAATGACACATTCGGATTTGGTTCCTTGTCTCATTTTTTCGTCTTAATTCACCAAATCAGTTTGAACCCAAGTTAAAGGCATTTATCTGCCCAGCCATCTGTTCGACTGCTCATCCCACACAAATCCGACAAAACCTGAGGATGGTGATACACTTCACTGCAGTCCATCATCTGAAGCTTTCACTGACTAGGCCAAGAGTGCTGCTTCACTGTGCAGTGGTTAGTTGAGCTGAGCTGTAATGAGGTCCACTGAATGTCACACTGAGTGAGATGGTACAAAAAGCTTTGCTTACTATCTGTGTCAGACTATGCAATATCAATTCTGAGATACATGGTGCAATAGATGCCTGGTGAAATCTGACAGGAATCTATTTTGATGTCATTAACTCTGCAGCGCTCTCTCAAAATTTATTTAAAATGGTGCCTGCAATGTCACATACAGAATGCCATTCTACTCTGGATCTTTTTTTCCATATTCCAGTTGGTTGGTTTGTGCGTCGTAGTACTCACATCGTAGTTGGTCCTAAATTTCTAATGTTGCCAGAATTTGGGATGCAGGCTGTCTTTGGTTAAGTTGTTGGACTTTTCTTATAGTTTAAAGCCGTTGTTAAACTTGGTTTTTACTGACAAGTATGTATAGTCTTCACATTCTTCACATACATGTACTTGGTTGCATACAAAGTTTTTAGCTGGAGAATTAAAAGTATATGAATTAGGGGTTAGATGAGAGTCCAACAATACGTTGTGAACTTCTGCTTTTGCTCAAAGTTTCTAAAAAGTCTCTCTTCAAAGCTTTATGCAGTGATCCAGACCTTTCTTTCTGCCCTCACTGGTTATGTTCTGAATTTCATCTCACACATATCACATTAATTTCTGAGAGAGTGTTTGCTGATGTCTTGCCTTCATTCGTACAGTCCATACATCCTGATAGTAACACCAGTGGGGGTACTTTGGTGAAAACATAGCATGGGAAAATCCTGCTGCAGGACCACGGTGGTTTCTGTCAAGTGCTCTCTGGGCTGATCCACTCCGCTCTGCAGTTGTCATGAGGGCGTAATTTGAGCAGTAGGTTCTTATGGGAGCAGATAACTGGTTACACAACACATCCCACCAGCCCAGTAAAGACAGAAGCAGCAATAGCAAAGGGTGGGGGCTCTGTGTTTAAATAAATATAATGAGCTGAGCCTGGCACTCATTGATGGTGTGAAGATGTAACAGCACCAGTGAGACCACCAGTAATGTTCAAGGCAAAAAAAATAACCAAGCAGAGATGTATGAATTTGTTGACACTTAAAATTTAAGCTTCATCACCTCATCTTGATCTCAAGTATTAATCGATTCACATAAGTTGAGAGTTACTTACAGAAAGCAGCCACCTTTTTGTTCAGTGCTTTTTTGAGCAACTTTGCTAAGAACAACAGGACACGGATGCACATATACACCATCTGAAGCTACGGTATATGTTTACACTGCAGCTGTGGGTGGTAGCTGGCAAAAAAAAAAAAAAAAAAAAACACAGAGGGGTTAAAGGGCTGAATGAAAAAATGAGGCGAGAAAGAGCATGAGGAGAACGAGAGCCGGAGGGATCCAAAATAAGCCTCGCTGTGGATTCAGGAGACCGATTTGTGCACATGCCTGAACGACACCAGACATCAGCTGATCTGCCTTGCTGCTCGGTATCCATGACAACACTGTCTCCTGGGAAGTTGGCATGACAACAACAGGAAGAGAGAAGTGGCAGCAGCAAGAGGAGAGAGACGGCACTAAGACAGGGAGAGGGGTGAGGCGGGGAGAGGCGGAGGAGGAGGCGGAGGCAGGAGTGTGAAAAAAAGATGGAAAATAGAACGTGTAAAGAAAAGATGGTGGAAACCAGTGAGATCTGTCACTGAGGCAGAATAGATAATGACCATTTTGTTAACAGCATTTATATTCAATGAGAAATATAGTGTAATGATCCCACTTTTGCAGCTTAGGCATTAACAGCCATATAAATCCTCTGACAGACAGTTGTTGGCTCCTCACTACTCTACCGGCCCTCCATCAGCTCAGACATTCCCTTCTGTTGTCCTGCAGGAGCAGCAGTAAATACACAGCAGGACAGCCAAGGGGGTGCTGTGGTGTTATCCTATCAGTGCTAATCAACATGGAGCTAATGGCCTCCACCTCTGTTTGACCTCCTCTGATCAATAGCCCAGTATCACACTGCTGTGGCTCTCACTTACTGTACATCTCTGTCTCCTCCTCACCCATATTTCTTTCTATACTTCTTACTTGTCCTCACACTTCTTCACCTTGACCAATCACCAGCTCCGTGCAGCTTGACATTTACTGCACCAAAAGGCCTGGTATGGTGGATGGAGCGGTCATAATCAGGGATGTAATGGTGACTGAAAAGATGAATGAACTGTTTCTACACAGAGAGACAACCACAGTTATTAGCTAAAACATAGACATTTTTATCTTAGAACACCAAAGGCTCCTCAAGGCTAGCAACCAAATATGCTGTTAAATTATAAGGCTGCCCATACACTACGTCTCTCACTGTCAACAAGACCCACAGAAAACCAAAGCCAAAATAACAAAGTATATGGGTACTACTCTTTCATTGAAAACAAAACTATACATTTGTGAGATGGTGTTCAAAGATTTACATCACTCTGAGGATCCGGGGAGCTTGAGGCTGAGGCAGTCAAAGTACTCAAAGCCTAATATACTGTATATGATTGTAGACAATTAAAGAAATATATTAAATGATGCCAGTGTTATCCAGCAACAGGTTCCCAGTGGTGACTCGGGACAAAGCAGATCGTGATTTTTAAGCACTAAAAATATTTTACAACCCTAGACGACATTTCTATAACTTAGTGCTCAAATGGCTTTTTTGTCATTAGTGTTCAGTTTTCCAGTCGTAATCAGTCCTTCTCAATTACCATGTTACGGTGTTGTACTTTTATGGACACTTGGATCTCAAAGATGCAATAGAAATAACTTAATTACTCACTTCATTATGTTTTGTTGGCAATCAATTGCAACATCTAGTCTCATGAGAAAACTGTCGTTCATGCTCAAACCCATCTGTTCCTCAAGACATAAATCATTACAAACAGTTCACTATATTATTCCTCATTTTTAGAAAAGGCCCAGTGATTTCCTGAAACAGCAGTACACCATGATTTTTAGCAAACAGTGCTCAAGAAGAAGTAAAAGGTGCATGATCAGTGGATTGATTCACTGTTTGTCTTTTCATGGAATTTGTCGACCATAACAAAAATGTAAACTATAACCGCTGTTAATGTCTCTGTCCTTGAGTATATTTGTGGTTATATAAGTGGAGCTGTGTGTGTACAGTCTGAAGGCTGCAAACCAGACCTTGTGCACGAGACTGAACCTCATCTGTCAGCTCAGGGTGCCTTGTGTGTGACACTCCCTCTGAATGAACAATAACTAAAACGTTGTTAACTCATCCTGCTCTCTGTCTGCCACCATCTGTCTCAACTCCATCTCCCCATTTCACTCCCAGATGCAGCGATTTGGGCTTCGGGTGTCCATCTCATTCCCTCTCGACTTCTTGCCACAGTTGTCAGTGCACACTATCCTCATATCTCACTCATCTCACCAGACGACAGCCACTTATCCGCCTCAGAGATTACTGTACGACTCCTTCACTTCCTGTCTCATTTCTGCCTCACCTCCAAGATCAGTGGTGCAATAAACTACATGAGCAATACTTGTGTCTCATCGCAGAGCCATAACAGGAGAGACAGTTATCAGAAATATCACCAACCGTTTGTTTACGCGTTTTCTTTTCTCTCATTGTTTTCTTGAAAGAAAGACTGCTCTGTCCGACTGCATAGATTTGTTTGTGATTTGATTTTTGCACCTAAAGAGTGAAGACATACTGTGTTGCCCTGTTAACACCTGTTTGAATTAGGATAGGAATTTGGTTTAGGTTAAATGTAGGACAATGGAATGGATTTCGCCATGTGAATGTAAATTCTCAAATAGCAGCCAGGCCCTTTATTTAGCTCAATAGCAGAGAAAAGCAACCTGCACACATTTTGGAGCAGGTTTAAATTTGTGCTTAAATTATTGCATTTATTCCTTATTTCACTGGCTTTCCGGTTAATTGTTTTATTTATGTTGGACGTGTTGAGTTTCTTAATATCACTTAGGAAAAACAAGCAGAAGCAACTGGAATTAATCACTGAAGGAAAGCATTATTTTTGTTAACAAAACAAGTGACAGCAGCAGAGTGCTAAGTATGACATGGCCTGGTTGGGAAGTTGTGTTATGTTCATTGTATTGAATTAGTGATGTGAGAAATTGCATCAGGCTACAATAAATTAAACCACCCTCCAAACGTCTGTTATCCAGTCACGTTGAGCTGCCCACACTGAGGCTATAATATGAAAACCCAGCCTTTAAATTTACAGTATTCACTATGGTTGTCAAGAGTTAGAAGTTGTCCATTAAATATGTAGCTACAGCTTAGCATAAAGATGTAGTTAGCTGTCTGAAGGCAACACCATCCAACCTCTAAAGATCACTGATTAATACCCCACATCTTTTTATGTTTAATCTATACAAAAAACTAAGTCTGAAGTCTTATGGGTATGGTATTGATCATCTCATGTAACTCTCAGTAAGAAAGTGAATTAGAGGCTTTCTCAAAACATCCGAGGCTGATGCTGGGGAATGCACAGGTCATACAAGTGCAGGAGGACAAACTGAAACCAGATTTAGTTTTTTCTGAGCAGAAAAGGTTAAAAACAAAACGGCAAATGTAGATTCTAGAAACATTTGTGCAAGAAGATTGAAGAAAAGAAATACATGAAATTTAAATGCAAGGAATTTGGCACAAACAAACAAGCAGCATCAAGGCAGTACACACACAGGACACATCTGCCATGGAAACAGCCTGGTGTGCTGTGGGCATGCAACAGCGTTAATGGACCTATCACAGTGAGAACATGAATTAAAAGCAGCCAATTGTAGAGCTGAATGAGATTTTTGCATATTGACATGTTGCCGCAGGAGAAATCAGAGATAATGCTGTCACCTCTGGCACCGCTTCAGGAAGCCACGGAAATTGCTCCACTGTCTTTTTTATTTTTTGTGGCTATCACACACAGCAGGACGTACAGCACAGAATAAATGTGATCAGCTACACATGAATCAGTGTTTTCTGTTTTTTAAAGTAACATATCATGTGTAACCCCTGCTGTTACACCTGTATCTGATGAGCTGACCGTGTTTATCACCCTGTTTTAAAAAAGGAGGTAGATCAAGGAATGGTGTAACAAGGAGTGTCATACGTTGTAGAGGGGGGTGCTCTTCATCAGTTTGTACTGCTTGAGGGGGTCCATCTTGTACAGGTGGCGGTCAGTAATGAGCAGTGCCCGGTCCTCTGCCTTGTGGAAACGGTTGATCTGGGAAACACAAAGCTCCTCATTAGTCACCCCACAGGACACAGTAAGCCCTCACAACCACACAGCAGGGAGGTGGTGCAAACCAGGACCAGCTGATGAAAGTTGGCTATTAATGCACAAACAATCTAAAAGCCATCTACCTTGCGTACATTGGAGGAGAACAGAACTCTCATGAATTTGTCTTTCCGCTGCAGCTCGCTGGAAACAAGGGTGAAGGACGCAGCTGTGTCAGGGCTGTCTCGCTTCTGCCAGGTGCAAAACAGTGCAGAAAACCTGTTGAAAGCACCTCAGTCTTGTCCTTCACAGTAGATGAAGTCACACATTAGACTGCAGTCCACTCACACAGTCATCCCAATTACTCACCAGATAGTTTCCTTCCCAGGCCCTTTGTAGCCCTAGGTCAGCTCTCTGGCCCTTCAGGGCCTCCAGGCAGGCTACCTTGGCCCTCACCTGCAGGGCCTCCTCTGGAGAGAGGCTTTTGATCAGAGTCCATGCCCACCACCTGGAGATAGACACATCCAGACACACAGAGAGAAAACTAAGATTCCAAGGCATTGATAGCTGGGTCAGCGGGGCGGTACAGCAGGAGCACAACAGAGCCCAGCTGTACTGCGCTTATTATCTTTTCACTCACACATCCTGACAGCCAGCATTATTCTCTAGGAAGGCTATTTTCTAACAGTGCCCTGCTGCAAGTAGACAACGCAAATAAACAGACTGAGATGAAAGGCAGTGAAGAGCTTTTGAAGAAGGATGAAAAATCAATGTCCAGTGCGAGCCCCAGGCAGAAGAAAACGGAATGACGCCGCTTCAAACAGGCTCATCTGGATGTGAAAGAACACTCGGGGCCATGCATTGTCTCCTACCGTTAGGGGCAGATCCACTTTTCCTTCAGTCAATTTAGGAAAGCGATTTTCTTCAAACGAGCAATTTGAAAACATTGTGTGAATATTTCCTCCTTTGTCTTTATTTGAAATAGATGTGAACTGACTGACAGCCTGCTGTGCAAGAGCACTCTCCGGCAAGCTGAAGAACCCTTATCTGAATCTTGAAATAGCACCAGATATACAGTATAGTACATTTACAGGTGAAGTACTGTTACCTAGAGAATGGTCTCTTGTCTGAGTACCTGTTGTAAATGTTCTTGAGTGCCTCTTCAAACTTGCGCAGAACCTTGGGGGGTGTCGGCCATTTCACATGCCTGCCATAATCCTTCATAGACCGGACATTTTTGAAGCGACGGTTGACCTCGCAGATGTAGGACTTGACTTTGTAGCGCCTGTAGGCCTGAAGGATTACGAGGGCTGCTCGCATCCGTCGGTATCTCATTCTGGCTATGGCTCCCCTCCACACCTGCAGACATGGAACAACATGATGATGTAAGTAGCTAAGCCAGAGTATAGAATACATTCTGGTACTTCAACATGCTTGGACATGGCTGAGAGTACTGTACTGCTCTTTCAAAGAGGCATGGAACTCACAGGAGAAAAATGATAGCAAAGGTCAAAACTGAAGAAGCTGAGATATCATGGCTTTTAACCCCTTACAGGAGTCAAGCTCTAGAAACACAAATTCCTTCAGATCCCATTACACTCTTAAATATTTATTTGTTAGACATCAGTGCTTGTAATGTTTGAAAAGCATGAATTCAGACTAAATCGAGAGTTAAAGACCCCCAAGCATGCCTGTTATCAAACACAGGTTGAGTGGTTATCAGACCCTTGAAAACATGAATAATGCATGTAAGTGGGGCCCCAGAGATCCATAACTCCTGATCCACCCCCACTAAAATCATAACCATATGCACCACTTTCATTGTGTTCTCTCCCTCTCTCGTTCTTCCATACACACAGCTTCAGTTACTTGCATTATTGCACATATGTCTACACTGTACCTAAATGGTCCCAAATAATCTGTAATAAAGTGCGTTCACTGTCGCATACCATAGTGCACCAGAGGCTCACTCCTGGACCCCAGCCAACAGTAACGCTCTGTAATCATGAAGATCATGAATACTTAATCTTGAAGTGTGTGTGTGTGTGTGTGTGTGTGTTTTGCAAAGAAAAGGATTTCTTAGATTTGCATACTAAAACAGCAGAGGAGAGGTTGTTTTCACCTGAGAAGAGTGGAACTCTAATAAGTGACTGCACCGGTGGAATAAGGGAGCAGAAGATTAATTGATGTCACTACAAGATGAAAACCTTTTAATCATATCAGCTGCAAATATATGTGCTTATGTTGTACCCTGGTGTTATTTAACACGGTGAACTAAAGGAAGGTGGCATGGAGTCACATCCACTGCGGAGCCATAACTGAACACTCTAGTTCAGAACACTGACTTGTCCACAGCATTACTGCTGAAGTGGAAAGAGGCTGAATCAGTGAAGGAAGCCATCTAATCACCAAGGCAACCTTTCTCAGAAGATTTAACTCAGCTCTTTAAGCCTGAACATTTATGAAGCCACATGTTACATGCATTAAGCTGAGACATTCCCTATTAGGCTAAAATGTTGATAAATCTGATATAGACCAGACCTCACTGGCTGGTTTGTGTGCATATTTTTATTATTAGTGAAACCAGTTCAAAAGAAAGAAGTGGCAGAAAGCATATACAACAATGTACTGTATGTGTGATCCTATGTCCAAGTCTTTGTAATACAAAGCCTGTCTGAATGTTTGTGTGGTGACCCGATACCAAAGGATTCGGTGCCCCTTGATGGGTTGATAAGTCTCACACACTTTGAAATCTAAACCAACCGTTTAAAAACTTCTTTGATTACCTGAAACATACCTACCTGGTCTTACAGCTGGATACATGCCTTTGTCATATGATGTTAAAAAGATGTTTTGTCCTGCTTCATCAATAGCAGGAAAAAGAAAGGACAGACTTCAGTTATGTATTTTACCTGACTTCTTCATGGGTGTTTAAGCAAAGCAGCCAACACTTAGTCAGACTTAATTAAACTTTGGCCCGTAATTTGCCTCCTGGTCCTTATTTGAACTTTGGAACATTTCAAAATACTTAGTCTCTTGATTTATAGAAAACATGACTATATAAAGTTCACGTGTATTCTGTGGATGCTGTGTCTAACTCCTCTTAGAGCTATTGATGTGACAACTGTAGAAATGTGGACTGGTTGTTGCAGCCTGTGGCTCAAGTACAAAGCTGTTGTGTCATGTGGTGAACTTGTGTCTGATGAAGGTCTACTACAAACTCAATGCTGATAATGTGCTGGAATTAAACCTCTTCTTTCACAGAGAGTGAAAACCTTATATCATGCCATGCAGTATTAAGCATTCATGTAATTATATTTGAAGCAGAAAAAACTCTTATTCACTTGTCTAAGCCATTTGACAATATTCTCTCTCCGTTTAAATCACTCCTCTACCCCACACACACACACTCACACTGTCTCACCCCATGTGTGCTCATAAGATACACTAAGCAATCTATTAAGTATGGCCAAATACAGTATGAATTTCAGTGGGAACTCCATAAAGATGTTGCCTGCCTAACATCCATATGGCGCACAGGCCTATGCCAGATCAGCAACTGTGTTTATTGAAGCTACAAATCACTAATTACACTGTTGGTGACTGAGGCTGGAGGTGAGAAGCAGAGCAGGAGGGAAAAAAGAGCCCATAAAGCACCAATAAATCAGCAAACAGCAGACATAAACTGCCTGCACTGTCTTTGGAGCATCATTAAGGTGTGACAGGTTGAAAGTAGCGAGACGTTAGAAATACGATAGTCACCCACACGAGCGCACACACACACACACACACCACAAACACTTGTTCTGGGTCTCAAACAGTGAAGCAGACTGGCTGTGATGACGGGGGTGGGCTGATGAAGACACGACACTCGGGGGACTGTGGATAAATCAGGCCAATAACAAGGACCCCGACGATCTGCTACCTTACTCTCCTGGCCAATAAAGCCATCTGATCACCCTTTGAGACTCTGCCATGGTGGAGCCTGCCCTCATCACGCACTGGGGCCCTGGATTTACGAGCTCATCAAAGCCAGATTGGGGATCTTCCGTCACAACAAAGCGGGACAGATTGCTGGGGTTTTATTTGGGGGTGTGGCTGTTTTTAAATGCATACTGGGTAAAAGCATTCCAGAGATGTGCCAGGGCAACTGGTGAGTGCTGGCAGGTTTCAGCTGAGATGTTGAGCTGAGCAGAACACAGACCATTAGTGGCTACTGAATGTCTTTAATCTAAAAGTATTGGGACTGCAGCTTTAACAAAGGGCCATTAACTGAACTGCAGTGTTAGCAATTTAAACTGTTCAAGCCAAAACACACAAACAACCCTTCACCTCGTCACCTAGAGAGGGGAAAAAAGGATGACCCAAGTCCAACAGGGAAGGACAGATAGGACGGTCTGCACCACTGACACACTCGATTGCAATCCACTACTGAACACCCGACTTTCCACATCCTCCAGGGATATTGAACTGGTTTTCCAGTGACATGCTTGATATACAGTATATGGTGGGTGGAGGGGGGCAGAATCACGAGTGTGTGAGGCTGCAACGTGCTCTGACCACAGGCTGTCAAAGGACGACAGTGGACTGAGGCACAGGCAGGCGGTCATTATCATAAATCAATGAAGAGTCTGTGTGAGCAGCACACACACATGCGGGAATAGAGAGGGAGAGATGGGGGACTCAGAGGTGTTTTGATTCCACAGTCAACATCCTGAACTCTCACCAGGATGCCCCTTTCTCTCGCAGCTGATATCTTGAAACAAAATCAAAACAACTGGAAGCAAATTAAAGAAAAAAAAAACCCAGTAAACTTTGGCTGTGAACCACATGTCAGTTACCATGGAGAAATGCCCAGGGTTGCAGTGTTTTAGAGTTTTTATAACTTGCCAAAGGTATTGTATACTGTAGGATATTTTTAGGCTGCAGCACTGAAAGGATGCACAAAGTGAGTTGGCTCTGTAGCCTTGACAAACTGATGAAATATGTTTTTTTTATTTGAAACCCAATAACCTGGGTAGAGGCAGTTGTAATTAAAATAAGCACTAAAGACAAAATATGGCTGGGACGTTACAGTAGCATCTTATGCTACTGTATATTATGAACTAAGAACAGTGAAGTCACAGAATCAGTTTTAATACAATAGAAACAAAAGAGGGGAGGAAAAAAAAGTCACTTTCTTCATCACAGCCTTTTCTGAGATCATCTAGGGAGGAGATCATGTTTCTGCTGAGGTCTAGCAGGAGACAGATCAGTTCTGGACAGTTGGGCAGAGAGGAGGAGCAGTGCTATTCACAAGAGGGCTGCACAGAGCTGTTCACAGATTACACCCTCATCATGTCAGCCTGATTCTCCTAAAACACAATTTGAGTTATTACTGAACAATTTACTGCCTCAGGACATGCATTATCCACAGGGAAACAATACAAAATAATAAAACACAGCTCTTTTTTCTTGGCAGACAGTTTCATTTAGCTGCCCAGACGAGCCCCCCAACGGCCATGCTGTGAAAGCAGACTACCCAAGACAACGCTCGCCACGTCTGATAAACCCACAGCTACACAGATACCATGTAAAGCTTTGGAAAGCAATTAAGGATATGGCTCAGAACACATGGGGGTTGGAGTGTGGATGCCCTTCTCGTCACTGTCAAGCACCGACAGCTACTGGGATGCGGATGGCTGAGCTCGAATTTATGAAATATTCATTTGAACACAGAGTGAGGATGGGGGCGGTCTATGTATAATTTATACAGTCTGTATTCATTTCCTTTTATTGGCCATTCTTCTGGCTGCTGTTTCTTAAAGTGGTAACAACTGGATTGCTCTGTCCAAGTAGAGATTTCAGTGTCGATAAGCAGTCAGTGGTGATGCATTCAAGGCTGATGGCAGCACAATTCAGGTGGATGTAGCACGACAAGAGTGGAAAAATGATGTGGATGTGAGCACATAAAGAGAGGACAGAGATAGAGAACAGCAGGATAAAATGGAGCTCCTACCCCAGTACTTACATCCAGCTATCCCCCACCCCCACTCTCAAAGGAGGAAGGTTATGTTAATTTAAAGAGGTGAAAGAAGAGCACAGCTACAGAATAACAGCTAATGTTCTCCCAGCTTGGACAAGCAGCGGGACTGTGGTGTGTCACTCAACCTGACTTTAGTGTGCAGATACACAAACTGTGTCTTTACATGATCAATGGGGCAGACTTGCTGATATTACTGTAAACCCATGAGGCAAACAGAGGACAAGAAGTGTGTCTGAGCCTCAGTAATCTGCTGACAGTCCTGGCACTGTGACCCTGACTGGCATAAGGCACTGTGCTGTGCCAGGTGCAGATAAGGGGGTTGCTTGGCACAGCAGATCAAACTCAGGCTGGGATGTTTGTTTGAGTAACAGCATGACAGATACAGAAGTCAGTTCTGCTGTCACAACACTGTTTGACCGTGTGTGTCAGTGAGTGCATATAGCAGAAGTAAGTGTGTGTGTGAACCACATCCTGCATGTGAATCCTAACCATCAACAGAGGGCAGGATTAAACAGCCCTGCTCCGACACCTCTGCAGCACTGTGATGCTCGTTTGGGTGAAAAGCTACGATTCATCTGGGCGTTCCCTTCGTTATCAAAGCTGCTTATCCTGGAGATACAGGACTCTCCTGAGGGAAAGGCGGAAGGAACACTCATCTGGTATGTCTGAGGGAAGAGCCTGTAAAGGGTCAGGCAGATCAATACAAAGGTCAACCAATCAATCCGCTACACAAGTTCATACACAAGATGACCCTTTTATCTGTGGGAGCTTGGAGACGCTCCTTGAGAGGGGCAGACATGAAAGCAACATGCTGTGGAGGAATCTGTCCACATGGTTCCCATATGCTGACAGGTTGGGGAAAATGTATAAATGTCAATCATGTCTCCCAGGCGTGTGCAGCGTGTGCACCCTCTTTCTACAGACTGGCGTTGTTGCTGCCTGCCTGTCAATCAGATGTTGATAGTCTGTGATTTGCATACCATGTCCTTAATTTGGCAGGCAGACCAGACAGAGCACAAACCGATCTCTCCATCTGTCAGAGTAACAAAGTTTTGCTTTGCATGCTGATATGACGCGTCAGAGCATGCAACAAAATCGCACCAAGATACTGGCGTTCTCGCCTCAAGGTGTCGTCAAACCAATGACGCACGAGGGGCTCAACAGCTTCTGAATACTGACACACACACACACACACACACACACAGCAATCAGTATTCACAGCATAGAAAGTTTCTTTTTGAAAATGTTCAGCTGAAGGAAAAACAGAAACACTGGCCACAGGGAAACAAGATGAGAAAACATGGGGTTCATATTAGGACCGAAACTAATAATTAGTTAATTAATAAATAGATTTATTTCTTTTGGTGATTGTTTGTTCTGTAAACAAACAAAACACCTCATCCTTTTATAGAGCCAAGGACTTTAGTTTGCTTGACCAATAGTCTCAGCCCACTGAAATATATATGACGAACACGGCATCACCACTTCCCTCCACGATGCAAAAATGAAGCCAAAATATGGTGAATACAGCAGCTGCCATCTTACTTTTACTTCCCAAACACCCCAAAACATCTCAGATTATACAACTCAGATCCACTCGGCCAGTACTAGAAGAGCTGTGTGGGGGAAAACTCAGAGAAAGAGGAGGCAGAGACATTCACCCTGAGAGACAGAGAACAACACTGATATCAGCTCCAACAATATCTCCGTGCTTGTATCACTTGGATACAAATTTGAGTAGAGTCAAAGGTTTTCTAGTCTCTGAGGTTGTTCATATGCAAAACAAGGGCTGGTGAATTTCAATGAGAACACACCTCAGACCGTGAAACCGCAACTCCCAACAGATCAGCTATGGCTGGAAACCACTGGGATTCAGTGACAGGCGCTCTTCCATTATCACCAAATAGTAAAAAAGAATATTTGCTAATTCAGTTCTCTGGTCTATGTTCAAGGTAGGATGAGGGAAAGAAAATTGGATAAAAAGGAAGAGATGTAATCAGTCGCTAACAACAGGGGATCTCACAAGGTTTTGAACTGCATTTCCCATGATGTCAGAGTAAGAAAGCATCAGCAGTTCACAGCTTCAAGTTGTGTGTCAGTGTCTGAGTTCATCAGCTACCTTGAGGTGGTCAGACTCACCTTCTGCAGGAAGAGGACGATTCGCTGGATCATTTCTGTTCGCTGCTCCTCCAAGCTGAAGAGGGTGCGTGGTGTGCGGATGAACACCTTGGTTTTACCGTAGGCCACATCGTGGTCAAATCCACAGCCCTGCAGGAGCCTCTTCACTGCATCTTTGTCTGATGGCAAGTCATGGTTTGGCCACGTAAACTCGGAGATCATCTTGTATCTGGAAGAGGAACAAAGTGCTTTGGCTAAGTGTTTCTAGCCACATTACTCATGTAGCTATTCAATCAGCTGCCATAGATTTTTTTTTTTTTTGTACGGACACACATGGTCCCCAGAAGATGAATCCTGGACTTTGATGCCCTGATTTTTTTATGTAGTGCCACCACAGCATTGACACTTTGGATCTTTAGTGAAATGCTTTAATAACTGTCAGGTGTTGATGTGACTGACACCAGAACTATTGCTTTCTTTTCCGTCTCTAGAAGCTAAACCCAAGACAGAACATACCTTCAAAAGATCTTGTGCATGACATTCTCATGATTAGTGAGATTTAAGTCTTTAGGAGATTTAAGTTAAATTAGTTTAGTGTATGAAAAAACGTCCCTCATAAATACCGAGAAGCCAGTCAGTCCAAAACCCAATTAAGCCATTTGACACACATGAGAAGCTGAAACCAGACATGAGATTATACAATGGTTAATCACAATAACCACATGTCACACTGCAGACGTCTAGAAGTGCAGAAGTCCAAAGTAAACAAGCAGACAACACAAGTCACAGGAGTCCCACATTAAATGTTCTATAGAAATAAACAGAAATACTATTGAGTGCCAAAGTACTCGATGCTGAACAGCCTTTTGGGGTGTTGTGCTGCTATACATAGTGTATCACTTTGCTTGATTAGTATTACTCATGCAACAATTTATGCTGTAACTGGGGTGAAGCTAATCTGAACTACTTCATATGTTGGCATCAGCCTCAAAACTCTAGTATTAGCACTCAATATGCACCCAAATTAGTGCTTGTTCAGATGTAAACAGACCTGTAATGTCAGGTGTCTGAGCTTCCATATGAATAAAACATAAGTTATTAATGCAGGTCATTGACTAGTAGTCCCATTAAAACAGGGCTATTTTTCAGCATATTAAAATGTTTATACAAACATCTCTCTGTGCCAATTACAATCCAGTCTGAGTGTTTTAGGGCTGCTTTTAATCAAGGTCATGTTTACAGGAAACTGATAAATCTATCATGAACAAAAAATGATGGTCAAGGGGTTATTTTGTTATGGCTGCTGGAGATTTAACTGATTAGCTGTACTACACTACACCACACATATTTACATCTCACAGTTAGGACTCTGTGTACAGTAGTACTGTTGACGGCTGACCAGCGTCAGGGTTCAGAGTGTTAGTCCCCAGCATTTACATGTAGGAAGTATTGTTCAGTCACCGATTCCTCAAAACCCATTTAGCCTTCAAGCCTCACCTGGGGCACTTAATGTTTTGTTTTTTTTTACTTTATACATCTAACATGATTTGGCAAAATAAAGTATAAATGATGACTGTGCTAACTCTTCCTCAATGGCCTGACCCCACCAATTAAAACAAATTAAATTACAGTTTAGTGATAAAAGGCACATTAATACATTCTAACATGGGCCTCTCTGGGACTAAAAAAAAGAATATGCAATCAGATTTTTAAAAATAATCAAAATTCATCCTGTTCTGTGATGCTGTTCGCCTTTTGTGTGTGTGGTCCCTTGTTCCTTAGTTGGTTGTTTTCTGATGATGTTTATTCTTTAAGATACATTGGAGAATGTTTTGTAAAAAGACATTGGTGCTTCTTGTTATCGTGACCAAGCCTGGATGTATGGACCTACCTACTCGTGTGTAACGATGTCTGTGGGTGGCATAATAAACACACCTGGACGTGTATGAATCCTTTGCATCTCACAGTAAGCCAGTTTGGGCTTCAGCTTAATTAGAGGTAATTGGAGCTGAAACTACGTTTTGATCAATCAACTGAATCAACAACCATGATGTCAAACATTCTCTGATTCAGCTTCTCATATGTGAGGATTTGCTACTTTTCTCTGTCATATATGACAGTCAGTTGAATTTCTTTGGGTTTGGGCTGATGTTTCAGATGTAAAAAGGAATGAGGAGATATCTGAGATGGGTTTGATTTATGATGGATATTTACAGCATTTTCTGAAACTTTATAGACAAAACAATAACTCAAATCTGAAGATTAAGCTGTATTTTCAGTGCTACATGTAATAAATAAAAACGTTACCCCCCAAAACAAGGTTTGTTGCATGGTAAGAGAGACTGGAATGATTATCACGTTGCGTGGTACCTCTGCAGGAAGCGAGGGTATGTCTGTCTGTAGGCGAAGCCAGCACGACGCACTCTGACATTCTCCAGCAGCCCCAGGTACTCCACCTGATGGCGGCAGCGCTCCTGCTCGAATAGCAGAGGGGACTTGACATCGTTGGGCTTGATGCAGCGAACGTAGTAGGGCTCCTACAGAGGGCAACAGTGGGTTAGCTGCTTCCATTCATTTCTGTATTCAGGCTGCAGTGCTGATGTGCAACTAATTCGTATTCACAGCGATACTGGGGGAGCGTGCTCAGGGAGCTGCTCTGGACTGACATACTGCCAAACACAGAGGAACTTCTGTCAGCCTTTTCCCCAGATAATTAAATGTGCAACCTCAGAGAGAAATATTCAAGCTGTCACTGTACTGAGGTCATATATGAACAGTAACGCTCACAATATGTCAAGGTTTTATGTGATTAAAGTGGCTAATTATTATAGGTTTCTATACAAACAAATTGTTGAATGCAGCTGAAACAATCAGAAAACTGATTTGTCAAACTACAAATAAACATTCAGCAACTTTGATAATAAATAATTTTTTTAGGCTTAGAAAATTTGTACATTTGGCAACATAATTATTCATTTTGAAAATCTGGCTACTTGATTATCTGATGCAACATTCATTGCTTCTGAGATATTGTCTAATTAGAATACCATGCATAAACCAGTCTCTGTGTTAACCAGTATGCCAGATTAAACAAAGGCCTATACACAAACTACTCTGACTAACAACACTGTCTGGAGATGGTTTCTGTTTCTTACATGTTGTTGTTGTTTCAGGTCCATCTCTGGACTTTGTGGTGTAAAATAGAACTTTAACATACAGTACATCAGAACTCTGTCTTCAGCAATAAATGCCTTGATTAGAATCAAGGTATTTATTGTTAACCCACAGACACTACATGAATAATGCAGAAGCTAATGCTAGCTAGCCATGTGGTTTCTCAATCACCTTGCAGGCCAGGTTCTCCACCAGTGAGATCATGGAGTTTCTGAAGAGCGTTGCAGCTGTCAGCGGCCGTTTGGTGACCTCAGTGATGCTCAGTTTGCCCTCGGGCCACATCCCCTTCAGTACCGGGTTAGCGCTGGACAGACCGGAAGAAAAGCCGATTTGTATTAGCACAAGTTTAAATATTTACCTGACTACAGAGTTAAAGAAATTACAGTCACTACACAGTTGAATATCTTAAGACCCCGACCATGACAACCCTTACATTTCTTTAAACATGGTTTCTAGTCTACTAAGTATCTAAAGAGTCATTTGTTTATTTTTAATGCACTCTGTGAAATCATTTAAATAAAGTCTTTTTACCTCCACTTTATCTTTGATAAATTTGTGTTGCTGTTTGATTTTTGACAAATTCATCCATTGTTGTCCATTCAAAATATGACATAACTTATTTCAACTTTTTATCATCTTATAACAGGTTTTAATATACAAATCAAATCAAATTTATTTATATAGCACTTTAAAACAACATCCAGCTGACCAAAGTACTTTACATGAGAAAATAAAATCACAATAAATAAGTAAAATGTACAACACTAAACCAAAACAGTTGTTTCTATTCAGTCATTAGCAGCGATGTTAAAACATTTCTGTGGTGGCAGGTAATCAGTGCCGCAAGAAACGCAGAGGAGAGTCTGTGGCAGAGACTGATACAGTGTGTACTACTGTGTCACCTGTTGTAGAGTAGTCTCTTGAAATCCTGGAACAGTGTGTCTTTGTTCTTATCAATAAACCCCACCACTGAGTACCTGCGAAAATGGAGAGACGAGTAAATGCATGTGCACATACACCTACACACACACTTTTACCTAAATCTAAATGAATCATCCTGAAACCAACATCAGTTAATCCAAATATACGTTAATCCTATTCCAGCTAAGTTAATGTGCATTGTAAGTGATGAACCTGCCATTAGCGACAGATGTGACACTCCCTGTTGCGATGTGAGGTACACTTCTGCCTGGTCTAAGTGGCTCAGGGACCAATTCTGTCAGGTGCTGCTGCTCCGCCCAGAGCAGTCCCCTGGGTGGCACACACTCAGCCCTCACAAATGGACTCGACACGATTCCCTGAGTGTGCTTTTTGGGGGCTTGGTGTGTGATTTATTTATTTGAATGGTGTCCAAGTACTTTAGGGATGTGAAAGTGGTGCTCTGTGTGCGTGGTCTATTGGATAACCCACTAGTTTCCAACCAAGGAACACATGATATGTAAACATATGCCCTAATGAATGCTCTTCCTGAATAAGTAAAACTTTAAGATACTTACACCACATCCCCTGCGTAGTGCCTGATGCGAAAGTCTCGGTCAAACTCCAAACTCTTATCCGTTGGTGAGAGCTGCAGACAAAGACGGGGCAATGAGTGAACGACTGGACAAGGCTGGACAAACAAATTACCGTCAGCTCAAGCTTTTTCAAATTAAGGCTTCTGTTGAGGGTCAGACTTTCTAAAAATTATCTTGAGAGGCTTATCCATGTTTTTATTTCAGGCTGTCTAGACTACTTTATACCGGTGACCGTCATTCCTCAATGAATCACCTCCAACTTGTCCAAAATGCTGCAGCACTTTTCGTCACTGGCACCTATATAGGAGAGGCCATCTCTCCTGTCCTGGCCTCTCCCCACTGGTTACCCGTTCGTTTCAGGGTCCAGTTTAAAATCCTATTGACAGCTTTTGAGGCACTAAATCAGGGGTGGGCAACTCCAGTCCTCGAGGGCCACTGTCCTGCTTGTTGTCCAACTATCCCTGCCTGACCTGCTGCTAATTACCTGGCTCAGGTGTGTTCAGTCAGTCAGAATAGTTGGACACCAAGCAGGACAGTGGCCCTCGAGGACTGGAATTGCCCACCCCTGCACTAAATGGTCGAGCCGCTCCTCGTCTTTCAGATCTTTTCAAATCCTATTGTTCAGCCAGACCTGTTAGGTGAGCTGATCACTCACTGCTGGTTGTTCCCAAACCAAGGAAAACATGTAGCGGTGCCTTTGCAGTTGCAGCCCTGATGCCTTGGAATGAGCTGCTTTTACATATTAGACTGGATGCTTTTAAATCCTCACTTAAGACATACTACTACGCCCTGGCTTATAGCTGTGCGGTAGTCTAGGTTTTCTTTTATCCTTGCCTTTTTCTCAGGTCCTTTATGGCTGTTTTATGTCACAGTATGTATTATAATGTACAGCACTTTGGCCAAATGATGTTTCAAATGTGCTTTATAAATAAACTGACATCGACCGTCTCAGAACAATGTGTTAAGAGTCAAAGAAAAATTATCTGATGAAACAACTGCTGTTATGTACATATTAAAATAAAATGATCTCAGTAATTATTACGATAAAAATCCCCTTGATAACGATGATAAACTGATGTGCAAGTTCTGATCGATATATGGAAGAGAACAGAAGGAGAGCGAGACAGAAAAACAACCAACAAGGAAAACGTTTGCAGCCATATTCTAGCTAGATGCTGTTTCTGTCAAGCCAATACAGTCCGATTACTTTGTGAAAACGGTGACTGACTCAGAGGGCTCGGTGCTCTCACACAAACAGACAAAAGGAACAGTCCCATATGAGAGGGAATACTGCAAACACAATAAAAACCTGACAGACAGAAAGATTTACATCAGAGCTGAATGAATTAACAGCCAATGAAACCAACGAGGGCCTCACAGTAAACCTCAGACAGATCCAAGTGAATTTCCTCAGAGAAATCACAAAACTATTTACCTCCCTCGGCCTTGAGAACCATCCTGAAGCACTGATGCGTTTCCAATAATATCCTCTGATGTTTTAATTGCCAACACTAATGTGCTCTGCAAACAGCAGTAAGGAAATGTTATTAACAAAGATTTTTTAAATGTACACAGTATTCTGCAAATGCCACACTGCATAACTGTGCGTCTCCGGTGCCATTTTGATAAACTCTTACTGCTCAAGATCTTAATTTTAAGCCTGTCTGGACAAATACAGTACTTTTAGTATCCAGGAAGCCATTGTACTTTCACTTTGTTAACAGGAAATAGGATAATATTACACACACAAACACAGACAGACAGACAGACAGCCTGCATCTGCTGGAGGTCATACCAGTACTCATCTGTCACACTCCAACACACATGCATGCATTCTACACATAAATCACACACATCTTGGCAGCTTTACTATTAGCACCTCCTCTGTGATTGGGATTCAACCTAATGTTAAGGCCGAGGGTGTGGTGGTGGTGGTGTGTGAGGAGAGGGCGGGCAACAAAAAGAAAGCAAACAAGGTCAGAACAATGACAAGAGGAAAAGGAGAAGGGAGGAACATCAGGGAGAGGCGACAGACGAGGAGAGGCAAGAAATACTGTAACGTAAGAATAGATGGTGTAGTAGTACTTCTAGGGCCCGTCTATATTGCAGCATAAACACGGCTGTTCTAGGACACACTGACTGATGTGATACACCTTAGAAATTTTACTGACAAACATTTTAAATAATCATGAGCTTCACAGCATGTTTTAACAATAATGCTAAAACTCTGCAGCTGCTAAAGTACAAAAAGGTTTTGTTGCACTAACATGACTTTGGACTCAACAAACCTATAATCAAAAATGTACTTATTTTTATAATACACTTATATTTAACAGTAAAATTATATAAATAAATGACCAATTAACACATATTTAAGCGCTAGTTATAAAAAGCATTTAAGTAACTTTTGCTCTTGCAAAGGTTGCTGTTATGTTAAAAAAAAAGTTACATTTTCTTAAATTCTCCATGTTATGTACTTATTGTGTAAGTTCGTAAATATTTGGTTTACAGGAGTTTAAATATGATATATATTTGCTATTGGTCAAGGTCAGGTCAAAGGTCAAAGTGTTTGTCATATGCACAGTTAGGAAACATGTTTCCCTGTACAAAGAAATTCTTCCACATGAATGAAATGCTGTCCACATGAATGCCACATAATACAAGTGAAATATAAAGTAGATGAGCAATAACACAAGTCTAAGGCACTTTAAAGCAGATAGTAAAGGAATCAAATAAAAATACAACAAGAACACAATATAATGCAGAGAGAATATATGCTACATGGGAGCCATGATGTGCAAATATTCAGCAGTGAGTGTGCAATTATGCATGTGCAAAATGAGTATGTAAACAGTACAGATGGAATTACATGAGGTAGATCCTGAGTCAGCTGTTTAGGAGTCTGATGGCAGAGGGAAAGAAAGAGTTTTTCAGTCTAGAGGTCCTGCATTTCACACTCCTGAGCCTCTGACCAGAGGGTAGGGATATAAACAGTCTGTGCTGGGGGTGGGTGGGGTCCTTGAGGATGGAGGCAGCTTTCCTACGCACCCTGCGGTGGTAAATGCTCTGCAGAGAGGGCAGTGGAGTCCTGGTGATCTTCTCGGCAGTCTTTACCACTCTCTGCAGGCGCTTGCGGTCCATAGCAATAGTGCTGCCATACCAGACAGTGATGCAGCTGGTCAAGATGCTCTCAATGATGCAGCTGTAGAAGTTGCAAAGGATCCTAGGCGACATGCCAAATCTCCTCTCCTTCCTCATGTCCACTATCATCTCCTTCGTCTTGTCTGTGTTGAGGCTGAGATTATTGTACTTGCACCATGACACCAGACCGGCCACCTCCCTCCTGTAGGCTGCTTCGTCCCCGCCAGTGATGTGACCCATCACTGTGGTGTCATCCGCGAACTTCAGGATGATGTCGGTACCATTATCAGAAATCTTTTCTTGATGCTTAGCACCATGATGAAGCCAACAGTTTAGATCAGCAACTTCAATCTCTGCAGGGAGAAGTCATGTAGATCGCGCGCTCTTTAAAACTAACTACAGAGCAGTCCACACTAGTTCTGCTAATTCAGGCAGTAAAAGTAAAACAGTGATTATGTGGAGCAACTTCAGACATACTACTCCATGAATGTAAAGGGACAGTGCTGAAAAAGAGCAAGGTCAACAAGCTCTCCCAGGACCGACAGGACACCACATCAAATACACACAGCAGCAGGGCTGATTGTTTTTTTTTGTTAATAACTGTTTAATCTTGTTACATGCCAGAGCATGGAGGAAACTGTTGTGGTCCGACAGTACTGCGGTCCATCGTTTTCTAAAGCCCGAGGTGTTCGTGGTTATCAACCTGCTCGTAGTCCAAAACCCGAGGACACGGACTGGATTCAGAAAATATCTGGCAATTTTTGCTTAGAAAGTAACAAAAGATTAATTGACAGTTATTTTTCTGTCAGTTCTTTGACATGTGGTCTAAGGCCTTTCATTTCAGAGTAATGGCATCTCTTCTTTGCAATATTTGGAACTCCACCACTAATTTAACTGTGAAGCAAAGCGATTAACTGTCTGCAGGAGGATATTGTTTCAGTGAGAATCATCAACACGACTTCAAAGAAAATCCTGGTTGTGCAAATTCATGTCCTTTTTGAAACTGAATTTAATCACATTTGGGTTTCGGGGGTCATCACTGAAATTTTATTTCTCTCTTTAAAGACCTCCCCTGCGATTAGCTGGAGCTGAAGGTCAAATGCTCCTGCCAATGAACATTCTGCCTGTACTGTTTCTTCTTTATACTTTACAGTACAAACAGAGAATATTGTATGTTCTTACATTAAATTGTGAGCCACTGAACCAACACAGAGGTGATGAAGAAGTGATAAGGCTGAAAGGTGAAAAGATAAGAAAGAGAATAACAGGTACACATTGTACAGACACAGCACCCGGTGTTAATGTGACAGGAAACAGTGTTAAGACGTGTCTGTACCACATGTTCACCTTTAGCTCTCATTACTCTCTGAAGACTTTCTGTGCAGAGAGAAGACAGCGATTAACGCAGGACTGCTGTCCCCCTGCCTCATGCTCATTCTTTCAGCATGAGGCAGGGAGACAGCAGTCGGTATCAGCTCGGCAGTGACAGAGGCACCACTGGACAAGTCACGTATCAGGCCTCAGAGCGACACGTGTCATTGGACAGTCTAACACACAGACAGGTAACAAACAGACCTCTTCACCTACAGTCTGAGACAATATTAATTTGTCTAGCATCAGAGATTTTGCACCAGACCAGTGTGGGAAGATCAATGTGCAGCACTATGGATTGGTTTTGTTGCTGAACTAATTTAAAGGATTTTTGCATCAATACAATGAAAAATCCAGATCAGTTCCTGGAATAAAAAACTGCACAGCAAACTATTTTGTCTAAACAAAAACTATTTTCCAGAAGATTTACAATATCATAACATCTACTGTATATCAATACACTGCCATATTACCTTACATAATGAGGGATTTTATTATTTGTGATTGTAATCAATAAAGAATAATGACTACCATAAAGATT